ATCTTGAACGTTCTGGCGAATAATCTTTTAGATCTCTTTTTTCATCGTTACAAATAAATGCACATAAAATAATAGCAGGCGCATTTTCAAGCATAAGCAGCATATTCCATCCAAACCACGCACACGCAGGTAATGGACACGGATGCGTCACACATTTCAAGTAGCATGGCTTTATGCATCCACAGCATCCACAACCATTCTCACAGCAATCACATCCGAAACAGCAATCAAGGCAATGAAAGCAACAATTGCTACCACTACTATATCGACAATAATCGGTACCACAACTTCCGCAGCAACAAAGAAACCACCAGAAACAACTACAGCAGCCGCATCCACCTTCAATACAACAACTTATCGGTGTAAAGCAAATTAATATTGATGATAAAGAACACAAAAATAGTGAAAACCATGTATGTATAAACGCTCCAGCTGAATTACCACCATGTATTGCAAATATTAATGGAAGCGTTGCCATTACAAGATAAAAATCTAACTTTTGCCGTTTGCTAATATCAAGAAATACTAATACGATATCTATAATAATTATAGCTGAATGAAGTACATACTTCAGCATTAAGCTTTTTTTAGAACCTTTTCTTAACCATACACGTATGTACTAATGATTAACATAACAGTCGTTGCCCATATTCCTAGTACCTGGAATAGATTTATAGGCCTGTAGCTACACATAACTTCATGCCATTGTGATCGTGGTGCATCATATTCTATATCTCTTTCTGCTATATTGTATTGTATATCCTTCTCGATTCTTGACGGTATATACATGTTTTTGCTTATGTATTTTTATATATTATTCTACAGTATATTGTTTATATATGTCTTTAATATTTCTTTTAGTACCTACTGTAAAGGCACTGTTTTTTTTCATTCTAGCTATTAATTTATATTATTTTATTCGGAGTTAATAATATTTTTTCCGTCGAAATTTTATCAAATCAATCTTTCCTTTTCTTTATACAGTCAAACTTCCCTAAATGCACATTGCCGGATCAGCTCTAGAGTGTGCATTTAGAGAGGTTGCAATTGGCATTATAAAAAAAAGTTTGTTCAGTTATTGTAATCATTGTCCGAAAAAATGTTCGGAACGGAGTCGATTTTCCGAATATCTACGATATTGTCTGTGATGTAAAAAAAGAAATTTTGGGTTGACAATAGAGATTCTGCATTATGTGCATTACATTATGCAAAACATAATATGTCACATAATGTAATGTTGACATTTTAAAATTTAAAAGTGCACATAGAAATTACTATAAAATTTTAATGCAAAAAAATCAATAAAATGCTATATTTTATATCATAAGTAATACTACAGTAAGTGATATGTAGCATCAGTTAGTTTCCTACCTGTATAAAGCAGGCTAACTAATATGAGGTTTGAAAATACCATTAGATAGAAACCTTCTGCCTAGAGATGAGAAAGATTGGATATGAATCTTTCTTCTTGATTTTGGTAGAACACCATGATTGCATAATGTCGCATGCTATTATTTTATGTGCATTTATTTGTAACGATGAAAAAAGAGATCTAAAAGATTATTCGCCAGAACGTTCAAGAT